AAAAAAAAAAGGAAGGCAAAGGTCCTTGCCACTGTTACAAGACCAGTTGGGCTTGGCGCCCGTAACACAGTGGTTACAGCGCCAACCACATACATCGACGCTGGTGGGTTCAAACCCACCCTGGGTCAGCTGAACAACAATGACAACTGCAACAACAAAAAAAATCCAGTAGTAGCTGGAACTACTGTGCTGGGTGCCTGTAGTCCCAGCTACTTGGGAGGCTGAGGCAAGAGAATTGCTTAAGCCCAAGAGATGGAGGTTGCTGTGAGCTGTGACACCACAGCAAACTACCGAAGGCAACGTGGTGAGACTCTTTCTCAAAAAAAAAAAAAAAAGTTGGTGGGGATTTGGGTTATTGGTGGGATTTGGGTGGTTAAACTTCACAAAATGCCTAGATATTATCCCACTGAACATGTGCCTCGAAAGCTGTTGAGGCCCGGCAAAAAATTCTTCAATCAGCATCGTGCCCAGGACCATTCTCATTATCTTCACTGGACACCATAGAGGCAAGAGGGGGTATATGAGGCTGGCGCCCTATTCACTGAGCCACAGGTGCCACCTTTTTTTTTTTTTTTTAGAGACAAGGTCTCGCTCTGTGAGCTCAAGCAATCCACCCATCTCGGCCTCCACAGTGTTAGGATTACAGGTGTGAGCCATCAGGCCGGCCAAGGCATTTAATTTTTTGCTATCATTATCACTTACTTTGACAGAGAGAGAAGGAATTTACTTAAAACAGTCTAACCCCATGGTCTTAACGAACTCTTAAAACTGTCTCTCCATTCACCTGGAGATGGGCAAACTTGTGGCCAACCTGGAAAGCCCCAGAAGGAATGAGATTGGGCCTCAGTCCCTCCCTTGAGAGGCTCAGTGGGGAAGATGAGCCGCCCTCCGACTCATCAGGATAGTCTTGATCAAGATCAGCTGATACAGAGGACACCTGTGCTTCAAAGGTGATGACCCACTCCGTGCGAAGGGGTTTGGGACAGATGACCCAAGCTCAGTGTCAGAGGCCAGGCATCGGTGAGAGACACAGATGCTGTGTGTGGTTTGGGCTGAAAGCTCTGTTGGACTCACCTACTCCGGCATCATTTCCACTTCAGGGAGCAGGGGCTGAGCTTGTGGAATGAACTGAGATGGCTGTAACCTTGGGGCCCACATGTGGAACCACCAGACCTCGTTAAGTAGGACTGGCTTCCTTTCCTTTGCACCAAGTGAGCCCCTGGGATTCTTAGCCTATTCTTGAAGAGACCTCAAGAGGGAGATGCTGCTCTTTCCCGTCTTGCAAGATGGCGGGTGACTAAAGAGAAGCAACCTGCGGCCAAAAAAGCCAAGCAGGGGAAGCCCCACTGGGGCCCAAATCCTCTTCTCATCAGAGGAACAGGCAGATATTCCCAATCTGTCACGTAACCAGAAAGGTGGTGTATAGGAAGTACACAGGGGTTAAATCCAAGATGGAAAAGAAAAAAAAAA